CACCTCGTGATCTCTCTCTCTCTCTCTCTCTCTCTCTCTCACACACACACACACACACACACACACACACCCTTGCTGGTGCTCCCCAGTCCTGACCCACAGCCCCCTGCTATTCTAGTCCTGGTCCCCCCAGAGTGCTGCCGGTGCCCCTCAATCCCGACCTGCAGCTCTTGTTTAAGGTCCAGATCCTACATGTGAAATAATGACTCTAAGTTCACACTGATTGTGGAGGTAACTGAGCCCCCGGGGGATCCCACTGTGAGTAGCCCTTGCTGGCCGGGGTCGGGGAAATGGGCTGGGAGGGGCCGGAGCTGTGACTGGAGTAAAAGCTGCAGTATCCCGGAAGGAGATTCATGGAGAAGGAGTTCAAGTTGCAGACCCTGCCGGCCAGGCACCTCCCTGGGAAAGTGCCGCTCTGTGAATAAACTTGATTTCAAGAGTTCCCTACACGAGGGTCTGGTCATTGGCTGGTGCCCCCGGAGGGAGCAGAAACGAGCCACCCCTGGAGCCGAGCTGGCTCCACCGGCCAGCCTGGGCCTTGGTCTGAGCCTCCCTGCAAGAGTCCATTGTCACCCTTCAGTGGCGGCCAAAGGTCATTGCCCAGAATAGGAACATTTTCCGCATGCCCATCACTTTCTATCCCAAAGCATGTCCCAGGGCATCCTGGGATGCAGCCACCTCTGGGGTGGAGGACAACAGGCATAGTGCAGCAATGCTAACCAGCAGCAGAGGGGACTTTGGCAAATGCCCTGGGTTGACTGGCCAGGCAGAACAGACAGGGGCGTCAGGGTCTTGCCCCCGACAGTTCCCCTCCCTGGAGAGTGCCTGGAGCTCAGCGTATCTGCTTGCAGTGGAGGAAGGCTGGGTCGGGGGTGCAGGGCTGTGAATCTAGGAATTTCATCCCTGCTGTTTGGCGCACGGGGCCACCCCCTCCAGCTGGACTCCCAGGCCCAAAGGAACCCAGCCCTCTTCTCGCTGAACTCCTGGGTTACAGTGGCCTGCTAGGGACTGCACGGTTTTGTTTAAATTGCATTTGTTCCTGGTTTTGCTGTTTCGTGCCGCATGAAGGGGCCGTGAAAGGGTTAAAAAAAGAGAGCGGGGTGAGGGGATCTGCTCATTTTTTCCCTTAGAAATACCAGGAGCATCGCGTCTGGTTTTGCAGGACGGCTTGGAGCAGCGTAGTGCACCTGACAGCGGGCTGTGGAATCTTTACCAAAGACCACCTTTGTCCCAAGTGTGTGTCAGGCATTGGAGTTAACCAGGGTTCACCGTGGTGAACAAACCTCACCTGGCTAAAAAATCCCCTTTCCATGGCTCCACTCTCCTGCTCTTGTGATGTCAGACAGTCGCCCGCTCCCTGCTCAGCCACGGGATGGGCAACACTTGAGCATCTCCTGTTACAAGCCATTGCTTGACCCAGAGCTGGCTCCAGTCCCAAACCTGCCAGCCCCCTTCAGAGACCCAAACAAGGGCCCAACCCCCACCTGCTTTCAGCCCCCGTCTCTTCAGATCGCTGAGTTCGTGGAGCTCTGTAATGCAGCCGTAGCCTGAGTCCGGAGCGAAACCAACAAGAGACTTTCCATTGCGGGGAGTAAGCCTGGCACGTGGGAGCACAGTTCTCCTCCTACAGCTGCGCCCATCCCGGGACCACGCAGGGGTCTCACCCAGAGCAACGCTGAGGGTCCCTCAAGTGCGGCAACAGAGGGGTTAACCAAACCATCGGCCCCAAGGGCTTAGTCGACCGGCGACTCTGCCTGATCAGGGAGCTCCATGGGCAACAGGGCAGGAACCCTAGAGTTCGGTCTCCTTTGGAGCAGATCAAGAGGTGAGGCCCAAGGGGACTACAGCTCCCAGCATGCATTGCAGTCAGGCGTGTCCTGTGGAGGGGCGGGCTCTGAGTGGGGAGTCCAGACCTGTGAATTTGTCTCCCTGAGGGTACCCCGGGAAGCAGCAGCTCTCCAGGCTGGCTGTGGAAGGGGAGCAGGGTGGGCTGGGAGGTCCCCCCCAGGGTGAGCAGATGCCCAGGGTCTCTGGGATAGTCCAGGGGCTGCTGTGCCCTTAGAATTACAGAATCAGCTGCAGACGCCAGGGGGCACCACCTGTCCCGGGGTGCGTGATGGCAGCAGGTGTAATGGCTAAGCCAGCTCCCCTGGGCTGGCAAGGAACCCGTGGCAGGGGGCTGGCGAATGGGCTACCTGCAAGCAGCGGGGAGAGGGTTAAACAGGGCTTGGCATTCCCCTTCTTTGCTCAGCGCTCCCCCAAGGCCCACAGCTCCCCACGAGCCGGCCTGCCCAGCCTGGCCTCTGGAGCCATGCG